GTGGGTGGGTGGAAAACAAGCTGTGAAATGGAAGAAGGTCAAGCTCTTGGAGGAGGTTGCTCTGTAGCAGATGGTTTTAAATGATCAGTCCCTCTGGAGGTGAGGCCCCAAGAAAACTGTAAAACCAGGGCTGGAAATGAGGCAAAGCATGACCAGGTTTGTGGGATCACACGAGCAGTTCTCGTGGCTCTCCTGGGACTCGTCAGACCCCACTGTCTGTCTAATTAAGAATTCCTCACTTATTGAGACCCAGCAGCTAAATGTGATGGAGACTGCACAGCACTGGCACTTTTCTGTGGGGAGCAAATGCCTGGAAAGGAGATCACAGGGGAAGAGGAGCAGCAGAAATCCCCGTGGCTCTGGACAGCTCTGGGATAACCCTGCTCCTGCTGCAGCTGAGGAGAGCTGAATTCAGGTTTCAGTAGGGGCAGGTAAATGCATTCCAGGGCTTACCCAAAGTGTTTCTCTCTTTAGAGACTGCTCTGGCAGTGGGGTTTATTAAAGGTGCAGCACAGCCCCAGAGTGCTGTCCTGGACCAGCAGCACTGATGTCTGAGGGAGCATCTTTGGGGTGGGCATTGTCCAGAGCAGGAGGAACACGGTCCCACACCGCTAGGAAACACTGGCTGCTACTGAGAGGATTTCCCAGCAGCAGTCCAGATTTCCCAGATCATTGTATTCTTATTTTCTTGGCTTTTCAGCTTTCAAATGGTTTATATTTGACTTTGTAATTGCTTCTACTATCTATTTTATATCACTGCAAAGGTAACAGGGGATGTAGAACGGAAAGATCTTAGCCCAGAGATCAGTTTGATTTCCTCATGCTTTTCTTGTGAACTGGGAAAGTTTAAACACTGTCACCAGCAACAATGGTTGAAAAGAAAAAAGTAATGAAGAAAATTACTCCAGAATTTAATTTTCACATTTATCTTTTCAATTGTTGGTTGAAATGGTGATTCCCAGCCATGCAAGGGAGAAGTTTTTGATAGCCAGGTGAGAATTTTCTTTCTCAGACTAGTGGAAATGTGTGGTTCTTCTTGATGCAATCTAACAGGAGTCTGAGCTGTGGCACTGAGGGTTTTCTGTGTGCTCCCTTCCCCTTAGCCTCAGATTTTAAATTTGTCACCTTCTGATAGGAAACCAGAGAAAAACCTTCTGTTTCTGCCAGGCCAGACCGCCTGTGAACCACGGTAAAAACCCTTCTCTTGCCACCTCCTGGAGCCAGCCCTTCCTTTCCAATTGAACATGAGATTTAATATGGATTTATTCCCCAGTGAAAGGGAAGCAGTGGCTGTGGGCTCCTGGGCTGGGATGAGTGAGAGCAGCCCTCAGGCCAGCCAGCTTCGCAGGAGAAGGGGCTGGAGACAGCCCAGACTGGAAATCTCTCTCAGCCAAACCTGCTCTGGGGGAGCTTTCTGAGCAGAGGAAGGAACACAAGGTCTGCAAGGGCAGGTCTGGGCTCACAGTGCACTGAACTTGTATTTCTGTGGGAAACCTGTCCATGGAAATCAGAGATCCCACCGTGCTCAGGCTGGAAGAAAACTTTAAGAGCATCTAATTCCAGCTCTCTGCCATGGTCAGGGAACCTTCCTGTGGTGAATGAGCAGCCTTGTGTGCTGCTGGAGGGAAAGGGCTCAGCCTGTGTCTGTGCTGGAAGGAGAGGAGCAAACTGAGCTGTGTCCTTTGGCTGCAGCACTGAAACTCTTCTGGAGCAACTGGGTTTCTTTCAGGACTCTTGGACTGAGGGATTTTTCTGCTGAGGGCCAAGCCCAGGCATGGTTGACCCACACACAGATGCAATAATTCAGTGTTTTTAGTTCTCTGCTAAGGAGCTGTGAGATCTCCTAAGAGCTCGTGGCCCCTGAGAGCACATCTGGTGTGTGCTGCACAGCCTGGTGTGCAGGCTGTCCTTTCCTTGGAGCTGCACAAGAGTTTGTCCTTCTTAGAGGCACAAGGTCTTGCCCTGGAGATGCAGAGAGGCCTTGAGTGATGGTCACACCTGGCCAGGCTGGCCCTGCCTGGGGCTGGCCTTGCCAAGGGCTGCAGGGCACCTCCCCTGGGCTGGGGGAGTTGGGGCTATAATGAGCCCCCAGGGCTGCCTCAGCTCAGTGTGGAGACACAGGCAGCTCCTGCCTGCAGCCTCACCTTCTGTCGGAGGGGAGAGCTGGGAGGGGACAACAGCTTGGTGTTTCTTTTGCCATTCAGTACCCTTTCCAGCAGGCTGATAAGGGGCTTGTGTTCCTTCCCACAGGTCACTGACATCTGGGGCCATTGGAGCCGCTGGGTGATGAAGAGCTCTGTGCTGTGAGTGAACAAAGGACCTGGAGACACAGGAGTGGCTTCCAGAGCATCACCTCAGCAGCTCAGCCCGTGGAGGGGTGAGTCTGGCCATGCCAGCATTGCTTTGTGTGGCACTGCTGCAGAACTGGGAGGGGGAAGTGACACCTTTGTTGTCACACTGAATAATGTGAATTTGTGTTGCAGTGGGTCTGGAAATGGCTGGAAGTGTTCTGGGAGTGGTGGGCTCCCAGAGCAGCGTTTCTGCTTCCTTGGATTTCCCTGGGAAGATGCCAGGCTAAGATCTGCTGTCACTGGGGACTTGTGGCACTGGGGTTCCTGAGGGATTCCATCCTGGGAATGTGTTATCCCTCCTTCCTGGCAGTGAGACACTCTTGTGATTGCTCTGTGATATATCCTGTAAATGTATTTATGTTATGAAAATCCTGTGGGAGTGTTGTGGCCACAGAAAGGCACAGCCTGAGCAGTTCTGCTGCTGCCATCCCATCCCTGCTGCTCCAAAGGGACTTGGATTCACTGTCCTGCTCGCTGCTGGGGTTCAATGGCTTTTTCTCCTTCAGAAAATGGGGATGGTAGGTGTCTCCTCTTGGCCTTTGGGATCAGTACCACTTTCATACATAAATGGACACAAGGTATTTAGTTTGTGTGTCTGTGGATCCTGAGCAAGCACTTTGGTGCTGTCCATAATCCCTGGAGCAGAGGAGAAGATCAGGTCAGGTATAGATTTACCAGAGGGATAAGTCACACAAAACCTGATCCTTGGGCAGTCCTCCTCACTCTGCACAAGACCTCCATTCATCACTGGAGAGCTTGTGACGTTCCCCCTCTGTGACTTGCCCAGGAGTTTTCATCAAGTTTCCCTTCTCCAGTTGTTTTGCCTTTGGTTCTGTGGTTCTAACCAAAGCATTCAAAATTTTTCATTAAAATTCATCTGAAATGGGAAGACTCAAGCTCAAAAGATTACTTCAAGTTAACAAAAAACTGCGGAAAGCCAATCCAAAGCTAAAAGAGAAATTTTAGGTGAAATATACTCACTGAGTATCTGGATCTTTGGGGTAAAGCACAGCTAGAATGTGACTGAGCTCACAACAATTTGGCATTTTGTTTAGAACATTTTCTGTGTCACGACTGCCCTGATTTTTATCATTTACAAAGAGAAATTCAAATATAATTACAAAGAGAAAAGCTTTGTGAGGGCTGGATCTCAGGGAAAGGTTCTTCCCCCTGAGGGTGCTGGCACTGCCCAGGCTCCCCAGGGAATGGGCACAGCCCCGAGGCTGCCAGAGCTCCAGGAGTGTTTGGACACGGCTCTTGGGGATGCCCAGGGTGGGATTTGGGGGTGTTTGTGCAGGGCTGGGGTTGGATGTGATCCTCGTGGGTCCCTCCCAGCTCAGGATATTCCATGCCACAAGCTCCTGTGAAAGAGAATGCTGCCTCTGTTGCTGATTACTTTATTATTGCTGGTTGAAGTCTGTGCTCGTGGCTTTGTCCCCGCTGTGTCTGTGCTCGTGCAGTGCCTGTGGCACATCCTGAGCCCGTGAAACACTCCCTGCCTGTCACTTCCCTACAGGTTTGGCTAATTCTGCTCAGCAGCCTGCCAGCAATTATGTCACACCTTGTCTGAGTATGGCACTGTCTGAAGCCCATAAATAACTCCCTGTGACACCCCCAATATCTACAAATCCTCTGACTCCCAAATGTTTTGCTTCTTCACTGCACTGATTTATGGCCCAGCCCTGGTGTCCAGTCAGGCTCACAGGGTCTCTTGCTCTGTCTCATCCAGACAGATTGATGAACACACAGGATGAAGGGCACCCTCCCACCCTGCCAGCCTTGCTGCTTTATTTTGGGACACTGAAAATGTTGTCAGTAGCCAAGGGCTTGCTCCAGCTCTGCACTCAGAGCCATGGAAGCTTTTCCTCTGTCTCCAGTGGGGATGTCCCTGCAGCTGCAGGGCAGACACAGTTCTGCCTGGGATGAGGAATGGCCAGCTGGATAATTGAACAAGGCTGATTCAACAACAGGGATGTGTTTCACAGAGCACTGAGAGTGCTGAGCTGTTTCCAGTGCCAGCCCTCGTGCTGGGGGTGTTTGTCAGCAGCATTCACCTGGGGAGGGGTGACTCCCTCTTGGAAGCATTTATTCCATTGAATAAATCCTCATGTGCACACCAAGGTTTCAAGCACCTGTGAGTGAAGAAATTAATTACACCATGACAATTTTTGGAAGGCTTTTGCTGTCTCATTTTAAAAATTCTGTGATTTTTTTTGTTTTTTTCTAGATTGAACTGGAGACAGAACAAAACCATGGTCATTCATGTAACAAGGGAGCAAAAAATTTAAAAGTAAGCAGGAGTAGGGTTAATGACTCTGTGCCAAACAGGGTGTTATTTTCTGGTCCTTATTTAATACACAAGACACTGGAAAATGCAATGTGGTTGGATTCATTACACTGAAGGAATGTTCCCTTCATATCCAGCGCTGTTATTTTAACCCTGCAGTCAATGTGTGGCATTAACATGCTTCCTTCTCATTCTCCACAAGTCAGGAATTCACAGGAGTTTAAGGACTCACAGGAGATTATTTTTAATCCAAGTGGATTTCTGAGATCTTTAAGGCTCTGTAAACTCAGCAGTTTATACATAATGCACACAGTGCATGTTGTGCACTGAGAGATGAGACCTGTTGCTGCCTGTGCAAACATTGCCAGTATTTGAGGGTTTTACCAAACCAGATTTGAATTTATACCTCTCTCAGCAGTTCGTTATGGTAACACATGTCCACAGCCACAGCAGGCTGAGAATGAAACATTCTGACACGAAACATTCTGACATGAAACATTTGGAGATGTAGGGAAAGGCCCTGGAGCTGAATTTGGACCACGTTGTGTTTCAGGGCAGCTGCTCCTCAGCCCTGCCCAGCGTGGAGGAGTCAGGAGCAGCAAAGAATAAATGCAAGTGTGACATAAACAGAGCTTAGGGGAAAGCTGCTGCAGGCTGGTGTCAGGTCCTCCTGTTTGGTGAGTGCTGTGAGCATCAGACATTCCAGCTCCAGGAGTGGTGACATGTCCAGGAAGACACAAGAAGCAATAGGGGATTATGTTTGTTGTTAATAGGATTCAGTAGTGTGGAGGACAAGTTAAATCCATAGGAGGGTGATCAAGAGCCTCTCAAAATCCCAGCCATTCACTGTGCAATGCCCTGCCCTGGAATCAGCTTCTTTTCAGTTCAGTTTTGTGTCTTTTCCTTCCCACAAGTTCCTCCTGCCCTTCATTCCCAAGTTTTAAGGCATCTCCCAGGGGTTTGCAGAGCTGTGTGATGTGCCAGACCAGCAGCACACAGATGAAATGCAAACCCCTTGTTGTGCTGGGGGCAGCAGAGGTCAGACCAGGCCAGGAGGGGACAGGAAAGAGGCTTTGGCTGCTGCTCACAGCCTCTGCTATTCCCAGGGCTGCATTCTCAGGGAGGCTCACAGAGATGTCAGCTATTGCTGAGATTTGTGGGGTGTGCAGAGCCCCAAAACAAGATTTGTGGTAAGGACAAAGTGGAGCCAGTGATTTTTTGCAGGGAGGTGTTTGTGGTTCTTTGCAGCTGCTGAATAATGACAAGAAACATTTTGGTTCAGAAGCTGACCTAGGGGTACTGAGAGTGAAACTCTCTTTGGCCTGGCTATGGGATATCCAGCACTAATTATTTTAGTTCACTAAGTTTACCTTTAGCTGAAACCGGTTCTCACCCAGACAATGCAGCTTGGAGCTGAACAAGGAGATGTTTGGGTCATCCCCTGAGTTCTCATCAGGTGCCAGAGCTCAGCTGGATGAATGCTGCTGCTGCAGGTGTGCTCCCAAAGCCCCTGTGCATTTCCAGACTGATGGAAGCTGCATGTTCCTGTGTCCCTGTGCATTTCCAGACTGATGGAAGCTGCATGTTCCTGTGTCCCTGTGCATTTCCAGACTGATGGAAGCTGCATGTTCCTGTGTCCCTGTGCTGCCAGGAGTGCAGAGGGTAAACAGAGATGCAGCACTAATGCCACAGGCAATCCAATCCAGTTGCTCTTTCAGGGCTGCAGTAACTCTATAGTTCTTGAGCATCTCTCACATGACAGAGAATCTGCTTTCCCAGCTTGCTGCAAGGCAGGAATGTGTTACATTACACATTGTCCAATTTCAAATACAGAGAAAGAGACTCCCTTGGCAGAAGGTCCCGAGTGATCCATAACAATAACTCCTTAATGCCAAGCTCACACTTCACCATTCCCTTCTAAAGGCTTCTTGTCTGCTCCCAGGTCTGTTGCTAATTTAACCAAGCTGAATGAGATCAGGATGTACCTCTGCTCCATGCCCCAGTTTAGACATCCATCTCTGTGGTTTTCTTCTCAGCAACTGCTCTTGCTATCCATCAGAGCCCACCACGTGAGTGCCATGTGGTGAATGTTTGCCTGAAACACGAGAGGAGGTCTTCAGAGGAAAGCCAGGTGACACAGAGGGATGCTACTGGATGTGTGCATTTTCCATTCAGCCCTGCTAATCATCCTCAGTTTGTGTTGGGCATGGCAGGCTGCTTGGCAGGTCTGTCTTCACTTGGCTGCAAGGGTGTGGCAAGAGAGGAAGGGCAAACCTTCACTACAGGCAGCAGTGTTAAGGTCTGTCCTTCCCCTTGCAAACTGTAAATAATGAAATGATTTGTCTTTTTCAAAGGAGAACTTGTAATCTGTTTGTGCTGACCCCAGAAGGCTGAGCAAAGCACCATGAACAGCCATCAGCCAGGTGAGAGAGCAGACACAGCTCTGGAGTGCTACCACACGAGGTGTGAGGGCTCCAGGAAATCACACACAGCCACACAGGTTTCCTCATGAGGCAGAGAAGTCCTTGTTTTGGGGTTTCTCAACCCATTTATAAGGTGTTCTGATTGCAGGTTATCCTGGTTGGCAGAAGGAACAACACCTCCCTCATCCCACTGGGGAGACAAGAGAGAAAACACTCTCAGAACATTTGTGTCTTGTTTTGGGAAAGTAAAACCTTATTTACACCAACAATCCTTGAGAGGGAACAGTTCCCAAAAGGCTTTTCCTTGGGAACAGTCAGCCCCTGAGAGCTGGAAATTCTCTCAGGTTCAGAAATGATGTCCATGGGAACCCCTAGGAATAACCTCAGCTTGTTTCTCTAGCTTGGAAATGGCAGGGGCTGACCCTCCAGCTCTGACCTGGCAGCAGATTTTGTGTTTGATTTCTCTCTTTGATCAGGTTTCTCATGCCAGATTTTGTACTTGGAACAAGAACTCTTGCAAAGCTTTCCCTGCCCAAACCATTGCTGGAGCTGTGAGCTCAGGTGCTCCTGCATTAGGAATTTGCAGAATTTCCCACTTGGACACAAGTTTGGCAAAGCCAGCACAAAATCCCAGAGCCTTGGGACACATTTACAGCCTGTGGCACTGGAATGGGTGGGACCTTTGTGGTCCAAGAGGAGCTGAGCAGGAGCAGTTGTTGCTCTGCAGGAGGCAATGCAGGTGGAGAGATTCTCTCTGAAGGACAAACATGTCAATTTAATGCATTTTTCCTTGCCTTTCTAGTAAAAATCTTCAAGAAATCTTCTATCCCAGGAGTTGTTGTCACTCAGTTTGTGAATGACGTTCCACAAGGATGCAGTACACCTGACTTTGAGAAGAAACCCCTCACTCTGACACTGCAGGAAGGTGAGACTCTTGACAAACAGGCAAAGCCAGGGATCTGGAGGTTTGACTCCATGTCCCACCTATCATGATTAAATCAAGCTAGTTTCTAAAGTGATTTGACCACAAAGAAAGTGTTGTGTGGGCCAAAGTCTTTGTTCCACTGCAGACAATTCCATCAGTACTCACAGAGGTCTCCTGAGCTGTCACTGTGTGTTTGCAAGACCATAACTCCTACGGGCACAGCAAACCCAGTGAGTTCTGGAGGAAGATTTTTTGTTTTCCTGTTGAAAGAACTTGTGTTCACCACTAAAATCAGCTGCTTTTTAAAGTGGGATGTGCTGACTGCAGGTGCTGTTTAGGCTACAGCAGCCTTCCAGTGCCTACGAGGGCTCCAGGAGAGATGGACAAGAGTGCCAGGACAAGGGGAATGTTGATATTGGGAAGAATGGGATATTGGGAAGGAATTCCTCCCTGTGAGGGTGGGGAGGCTCTGGCACAGGCTGCCCCATCCCTAGCAGTGCCCAAGGCCAGGCTGGAGAGGGCTTGGAGCAGCCTGGGACAGTGGGAGGTGTCCCTGGCAGGGCAGGGGTGCAATGGGATGGACTTTGAGGTCCCTCCCCAGGCCATTCCATGGTTGTGTGGTGATTCTGGAAGGACCAACATAAGGATCTTGCCCAGAGCACAGAGCAGGCAGCTGATGAGCCAGGAGCTCAGATCAGTGAGAAGCCTCCCAGAGGTCTCTCTGCACCTGCAGTGAGTCCTTTTTTCTGTTGTGTTGGTGGGGAGTAGCCTGAGAACATCGTCTGGCACCTCTTTCCTGCCAGGACTGAACCAGCAGCCTGGATTTTGGTGTTCCACACTCCCATCTGGATTTCCAGGAGCCACTGAAGCTTTATGAAGGAGCACGGTGGCCTCTAGTGGAACCTGCCCCTCTTCCTCCTCCTCCACCTGCACCTTTCAGGCACCACCCAAGGCCTCTGGCTGAGTTTTCACCTAAGTTTTTACCTGTTTAAGTTTTCATCTGTCTCAGTTTTCCAAGTTACTCCATTTCCAGCAGTTCTCTGCAGTTCCCACACAAACTGTTGGTGCACTCAGGTCGGTCACTGTGATTCCCTGTCCATGCACAGGCACCGTGAGGACCTTGAATTCTCTCATAATCACTGCTCAGAGCTGCTTCTCCTGCCTGGGTGGCCTGGGACAGATGGCAAACATGGCAAAGTGCAGCCAAGGTGGCTAAAATGTAACACAGGGATAATCAGTGGAATCAGACTGTAATACTAAAGAGATATTACTGCAATATCAAAGGCTGGAAAAGGCCTTTTGATGAGGCTCTGTTGGCAGGAACTTGTTCCAAGAAAGGTATGAGAAATATTGCCAGACTCTCCAGGGAGAATCTTTAACAGTGTTGGTCACCTGAAGACCAAAAGTATTAAAAAACAAGAGAGAGTGATCATTTCCACCCTGAGGTGTTTCCATGGATAACTCACCTCCGTTTCTATTCCCACTCACCCACTCAAGTCACTCCTGACTCCATTTCCAGTGTTCCCCGTGGTTTTGGAGCCTTTTGGAGAAGAGGTTTGCACAGGGCAGTGGGAAGCTCTCAGACATTTCTGTGGTGGGCTGCAGGGTGCTGAGGTTCCTGGGGAGCAGGGATGAAGGACAGGAACCCCCTTCTCTTCTCCTCCCTTTGTCTCTTCAAACAGCAGAGCCTGGTGGGTTTGGGGTGCAAGGTGGTGCCAGTTAAAGACTGGAGGAACAGTGGGATTTTATAGAGAATATTTGTGATGAGAAGGGGTTTGGACATTTCATAGGTAAAAAGCAAGTCTGGGTTGAACTTGCTGTTGGGCTTCTGATTTCAGTGATGGTCAGAGATGTCAGCAGCCACATCTGGCAGGTTAATGCCACATTTTAAGGGCCTTTTATGATTGAATACAGGCAAACCTGAATTATTGCTGTGCAAAATATGTTATTTTTAAAGAATGTTTCTGCATTAAATAACAGAAATTACTCACTCTGGGAATCACTCTTGATAAAATAAGGGCAAGGCCCGAGGGTCCTCATGTTCAAGCCTGTCTTAAATAACTAAATTCTTGTCTCTTCAAAGGTAAAAATGCCATTTTCAGAGCTGTGGTCAAAGGTGTCCCAACTCCTGAGGTGAAATGGTCACGTACACGGAAAGCAATGGATGATTCTGCCAAATACGAAATGTCCTTCAATAGTGCCACAAATGAATTCATTCTGCAGGTAAGGATCAAATATTTCAGAAAGGACTTGTGGAGCTGAGAGAAATGTATAGGAAAAACCTGCAGTGGGATGAGGGGCAGCTCTGATCTCTGATCTCTGATCTCTGATCTCTGATCTCTGATCTCTGATCTCTGATCTCTGATCTCTGCTCTCTGTGAGCAGGGACAGCACCCAGGGAAGGGCTGGAGCTGGGCCAGGGCAGGCTCAGGCTGGAGATCAGGGAAAGGTTCTTCCCCCTGAGGGTGCTGGCACTGCCCAGCGAGGCTGCCAGAGCTCCAGGAGTGTTTGGACAAGGCTCTCAGGGGTGCACAGGGTGGGATTTGGGGGTGTCCTCTCCAGAAGCTGGACTGGATGTTCCTGTGGGTCCCTTCAGGCTCAGGGTGTTCCGTGATTCCACACATCCCCAGCTCTCAGATAACACAAAGATGAGCAAACAAAGCTTTTCAGAGCCCTCCTGGGAGCAGAAGAAGCCTGTGAGGTGCCACTGAGTAGCTGCTTTATGGGAAGCTGGAGGTGAACTGAGCCCCAGTGCTTTGTGTGAGCAGTTTCTGTGCTCTCCCTTTGCAGATCAGGAGCGTGGTTGTGGATGACAGTGATCTGTATCGCTGCTGTGCCGTCAATGCCTACGGAGAGGCCTCGTGCTCCGCTGGCCTCAGGATCATCCAAGGTAGGGCTGGCAGCTCCAGGGGCCCAGGCAGGGCTGTGCTGCTCCCTGGCTTGGCTCTCCAGCATTCTGTCTGGTTATTCTTGCTGTGAAGGTCTGGCATCCCCCTCATTGAGGGCTTTTTGTGGCTCCCTGGCATTGTGAGCTTTAAGGCAAGGGGGAAGAAAGTGGAATTGTGCTCACTGGTCCATAATCAAACACCCTGGATTTGGTGCTGATCTGCCTCAATCTTTCATGTTGTTGAACAAATCAGTCCTTTGGCAGGGATCCATCCCTCTGCAGCTGTCTCTGGACCTCACTGCTGCTTTCCCTGGTAGTCAGTGCAGAGAAATGGGCACTTTGTGGGTCAGATATAACTGATATATATATATATATATAAATGATATTCCTGGAACCCACTCGAACAGAAGAGGGATTCTATTGGAAGTGCCCATGTCACCTCTGTGCCTCTCAAGTCAGTTTAGAAGGCACCTATCTGCAGCTGCCATTTCCACCCTGGCTCCCAATCTCCAAAACAAGGTGTTGAGATCTCCTCCCATTGCTTGTACCATAAAATTGGTGGGATGAAAATGCTTTCCTTCTCTCCAGCAAGCACAGAGTCAATGGCAATAGAAATATCACCTCTATAGGTGGAGATTACTGGGAGCAAATGTCAGATTGACAAGGAAATCCTGGAAAACTGGGATTCCCTCTTGATCCCACAGATACAGTGGTTTCATGACTCGTTGGCTCAGTGCTGTTAATCTTGTTCATCCAAAGGCTTGTTTTCCTTCTGTTTTCTTTTATAAATGATCAGTTGGCTTTAAGAAGAAGGCGAAATATGTTCCTGTTCATGCTGCTGATGGTAAGTTAAAGATCTATTTGTGTATTATATTACTGGGGGGGCAGAGTGAATAATCCTCTGCCACACTATTGCTACCCCAGACTTGTAAAGACTGGAGTAAGAGAAGGATTAATGAGAATTTAATGTTCTATCACCTCTGACTGCTTGCTCTTTACCTTTTGCTAAAGTGATCATTTTATACACTGTTTTGGGCTGCTCTGATTGCTGATTGTGGAATCATTAGGGAAGGAAAAGGGGATCTGGGGATGTTAAACACATTTGGATCAAACTTGTTAACATGGGTGAAAGCAGTGTGTCTCTAGAGGGAAGCCCCTTAGGGAGAGCTGAACTTCCCTGGCACCCAAAGGATGAACATGGCATGAGAACTGACTAAGTTCATGACAGTTTTTTGGTAAAGTGTGAAACAAACACCAGAGGAAAGGCCTGAGCAGAATGACCTGCTGTCAGTGGCTATCTGCATTATCTTCTTTGGCAGGGTGTGTTTCACAGTGCTGGGGATTTTTGTTTTGAAGCAGCTGTTTGTTGTTTCCCCCAACAGAGCTCAAGAAGACACTCCTGGACTCCAAGAAGCTGCTAAGGAAGAGGTAAAGCTCTGGAGTGAGGGCCAAGCTCCCACTTCTGGATGTTTCTTGGTGTTAGGGATCAGCTCCAGAGACCTTCAGGGCAACACTTCTTGTGTCCAGAGTTGTGGTGAGGCCAGAAGAGCTTGGCACTGCCATTGGGCTGAGATAAACACAGGGCTCCACCTTCTTTTTTGCATTTCCTCTGCACCACAGGGCTCTGACAGGGAGGCTGTGTTTCTCTGCTCCCCTGTGTTTGTTTCTCTGCTCCCTTGTCCAAAGGACAGCTCTTCATGCCCTGCTGGCTCTGGGTGCCCAAGGCTGAGCTCTGCCTGCTGAAAATGATCTTTGTGCAGAATCCTGAGCTGGGCTGCCCAATTACCTGGCCTGGCCAAACTGTGTCAGAGCCTCTGGTGATAATTCAGCAGTGTGGAAGCTGTTCCCTGGCACCATTTAATTTGCATTACAGATGCAGAAAACCTGCCCTGGAAGGGTCCCAGTCTTCCCTGCCTGCATCTCCAGGGCCAAATGAGCTAGAGAATGATGGGGAGAGAGGAAAGAGAATTAGGGATAGAAAAGCAGGACATCCTGTTGTCTGTGAAAATGTCTGAATGTTTCCCCTGTGGTTCTCAGGGCTGCAGCACCAAAACCAAAGCCCCTGGACAAAGAAGCTGTATGGCAGCTGCTGCTGCATGCAGATAAGAGAGATTATGAGAAAATCTGTATGAAATATGGAATTGTTGACTTCCGTGGGATGCTGAGGAAGCTGCAGGAGATGAGGAAGGACACAGAGAGTGAACAAGACAAGGTAAAATTAACTGAAACCACTCATTTTTACCAAATTGCAGCTTCTGAAAAGAGGCTAAATCTTCCTAAATTGCTTTGGAGATGAAAATTTTGTTGTATGGCAGTGGTTTATGACAATATTTTAAAGAAGTTCCACTTCTTTACTCATGCAGGTGAAAATGCTGATGAATCTGTCATGGCAGCTTTATCATTTACTCGGTTCTTCAATATTTCTTTGCAGTTAATTCACAGTCTCAAAAACTTTGAACACATCAGAGTCAACAAGGAAGGAAATGCTACCTTTAGCCTGGAGATGGAGCTGAAAAACAGCAACAGCAACGTTTACCTGCTCAAGGTGAGGGGGATGAGTTGGGCAGCAGCAGCTTAGAGCAGCCCCTCAAGTGTTCCACAGGAAAGGCTTCAGCTGCTGGGCAGTGGCTGTGAGCAAATAAACACCTAAAAGTTGTCTGACTTCTGCAGATCCTTGCTTGCTTAGGTAGCAGCGTGGCTGTGGTTTGGTGGTAAAGATCTGTCTTGGTTTGTCTGCTAAGGAAGGCAGAAACTTCCCTTGAAATCAGGTGCTCAGTGCTGGGCATGCTTTTCTGAAAGATAGGTTTTAGTCAAATTGTGGTTAGGAGGCTTTAACGCAGGGGAAATCAGAATGCCCTGAAGGGGAGGACAGAGTAACTTTGAATCTCCTGGATCAAATATATCACATAAAGTCTATGAGCCACAATTTGGACAATGTAGACCAAGTGTGCTCTAGGAAGTGATGAACTCTCCTGCTCATCCATCCATAAGGGTACTGAAATCAAAGCCAAGAAAGTGCTTGTCTTTGTAGCTGCAATAACTGTGTATTGATGAAGCTTTAGACTCAGATGTGGGTAGCCAAGAGCTGTTGTTTTGCTGAGTTTCAGAACCTGGTGGCCTGATCTGTGCAGGATTCACTGCCCAGACAGCACCTGTGTGCTGCAAAGAGCCCTGGGCACTGTGAGCTCACTCATTTATATCAACAAGGGGGTTGGAGCAGCACCCTGTCCTGATCTCTCCTCTCCTCTCCTCTCCTCTCCTCTCCTCTCCTCTCCTCTCCTCTCCTCTCNCCTCCACAAGGTCCCCCTACAGAGAAAGCCAAGGCTCTTAGATATGCTTTGGACTCCTCCCCTCTCCTCTCCTCTCCTCTCCTCTCCTCTCCTCTCCTCTCCTCTGTCTCTCAGGATGGTGAGAGGCTCAGGTACGGGACAGGGGATGAGTACAGGAAGCACTGCCTGAGGAGAGTTGGGAGAAGATATTATTTCACGGTCAATGATGTGCAGCCAGAGGATGCAGGGGTGTACCAGGTCAGGGTGGAGGACGTCCCTGTCTTCTCAACTGAACTGGATGCTCAAGGTGAGGAACTCAGTTTGATGGATGTGATGTGCAATTGTGACAAAAGTTTGTTTTTTGTGCTGGAAAATTGTGTCTAGGAGCAAGTGCAAAGCTCAGTAACTCCTGAGCTCCACAGTGGGCTGGTTTTGTGCTGCTCAGTAAGGGCTTCCTGTCTCAACAGATGAAAAGCAGCAGGAGTGAAACTTTTTTCTTTTTGGTTATGCTTGCACTTCTCCTCCCACATGGATTTCTGGAGCTCCTTCAGAATACCCCCTCATGGGGAGTTCTGTTTATCTCAGTTCTCTGGGTCAGGGAGAAAACTCCAAAGCTCGTTAGGATCTTGCTTCTCATGTTTATTAGGATGTTATCACAAAACTTGGCAGGTCTCTCCAGACTTTCTGCACGAGCTCAAATCACAACAACCTGGCACATTTTTGCTCTGATGGCGCAAAATGGCCCCAGACTGTGCAGCCTTTTTATCTTTATACTTATTCTTATCCAATTAACAATAGACACATATATTATTTTTCTTAATGACCCAATGACCCATCACCTGTGTGCTGCACTGTGGCATTTTCTATCCAATCACTGCCCAAAAACCTCTAGAGGAAAAACATGAAGAAAGAAGGACAAGAGACAACACTCTAAATCCTCCATCTTGTCTTCTGCTTTCTAAACTAGTTTAAACTTACTTTTTCACCCAGTGACTTAAAAGGCTCTCTAATCTACACACTCACACTTTTAGCTTTTTGTTTTCATGTATCACCATGAAAACATGCTCATAAATTTCATGTTCTGTGAAATTCAGTATTCTCCTGGATGTCAGAGCCAGGCATGTCAGAGACAAGGGCACACACTCTGTGTCTCAGACTCAGGAGGGTGATGAAATGTTCAGGAGCTGCATTTGCAGTCCAAGGGAGCAGACCTGAGTCCCAGCACCAGGGTGGCTGTGGGTGATACTCCCTAACCTACCCCATCTTACATCTTATTCTGTAAACTCAGAATAATAACAAACTCAATCCAAGTATCATGTTGCAGGAACACATCAATAATTACAAACTGGCAGCATATCAGTGCTGAGAGCTACAAATGTCTCAGAAAATGATAAAGACAAAAATCTATTTTTCTGCTTTTCCGCAGAACTGGGCACAGAAGCACGCCCGAGTTTTCCCTTTTTCTCAGTAACACGATGCTCAGAGGCACCACACCTTCCTGTTCTTTCCTCCTTCAGCTGAAAGAGTTTTCCCTGGAGCCCAGAGCCAGCTGTTTCCTTCCCACAGCTCTTGTTTTTCCCCGCAGCCATCCCGGTGCGGTTCCGGCAGCCACTGTCCGACGTGCGCTGTGCCGAGGCCGCGGATGCCCGGTTCCAGTGTGTGCTGTGCACGCCCTGCCACGAGCCCCTGTGGCTGCACAAGAGCCACCCCCTCCAGAACAGTGCCAAGCACCAGATCTCCGTGACCCCTGATGGCCTGAGCCACGAGCTGGTTGTCAGGAACGTGGGGCCCTCGGACAGCGGGCTGTACACACTCGACGCGGGACACGGCTCCTCCAGCGCCTGGCTCCTCGTGGAGTGTGAGTGCTTGGCAGCAGCTTGTCCCCATGGTGTGCTGGCACAAAACATTCTTCTCACTGGCTGATGGCTCAGGGAGAAGGTGCTCTGATGGGAAATGAATTTCTGAGCCTTTAATTCTAAAATTAGAGAAAACTGGGGGTGTTCAGTGTGGGAAAGACGAGAGTCCAGGGAGACCTTGAAGACCTTTCCAGGGCCTAAAGGGGCTCCAGGAGAGCTGCAGAAGGACTTTGGAAAAGGGATGGAGGGACAGGACAAGGGGGAATGGCTTCCCACTGGCAGAGGCAGGGATAGATGGGATATTGGGAAGGAATTCTTGGCTGGGAGGGTGGGGAGGTCCTGGCACAGGGTGCCCAGAGAAGCTGTGGCTGGAAGTGTCCAAGTGTCCAAGGCCAGGCTGGACAGGGCTTGGAGCAGCCTGGAATAGTGGAAGGTGTCCCTGCCCATGGCAAGGGGTAGAATGAGATCAGTCTTCCCATCCAAACCATTTTGTGATTCTATGATTCTAAATGATTTTTGAAAAAATGAAGGTCTGGTTAGACCCTCCTTCCTCTTCAAATGAGACCAACTTTTAATTAGTCCTGACAAATCCTATTGGCTTGTTTGCTCTGCAGCCATGATGAAGTAGCACATTTTCCATCAGTTATCAAAAAAATGCTCCCTATCTCCCCACATGTTTTTGGGGAAGCTGTCCCAGCCATCACAGGTAGGGGCTCAGGGAGCTTTTGATACTCTCAGTTCTGCACTATCAGTACCATTCTTCTTGCTAGATAATATTTTTCACTCCAAATTAGAGTCAGACATGGTGGAAGGAGCTCAGAGGAAGCTGGGAAAGTGGGAACAATCACATTGTTCCACACTGACAGCCACTGACAGTGTTTGCTTATGAAAGGTGGTTCCTTTGGTTCCCTTTGACTCTTGAACTTTGGTTCCCTTTGGTTTCCTTCGGGATCTTCCTGCAGCAGCAGCAGGGGTCTCTCCCACAAAGGCCTCTCCAAAGCAATGTAGGTTTCTGAAACAAAGAAACTGGCCCTGGGTATCAGTGAGTTGTGAGCTCTGATAAATTATATCCAAGCTGGAAACCAAAGCAGTGAGTGACCTGCTCTCAGAACAGCCTGAATTTCAGATTAATCCAAAGCTATTCACAAATCTGAAAGCTTTAGTCCTCAGGTTGGGCATCCCTAAACCAGCCATTATCCAGATGTGCAAGCTGCCTCCAGAGCACTGAAATCTCAGTTCCAGGGTGGGAACTGATGGCTCCTCTGTGCCTGGAATATTCTGTAACTCCTCTCTAGCTGCAGGGTGAAGGCAGCTGAAATTCATAAATCCCACATACGATCTCAGCCCCTCTAAATCAGACCTGCCATGCTGGAAGTTTATTTTTCTGTTATTTTTGGTTTGTTTGTTTGTAATAATGAGCATGGTTCCATTAAAAAACAATGCATTTTAACCAAAAAATAATTGTCTTTAATTAACATTTCTTTGAATGTGGCATTGAAAAATTCAGGATTTGAAATTATTTTAAATTTATTAAAATGTATTATGTGTGTGTGTGTCCTAGAATGAAATTCAGAAAGTGCTAACACATTTTCTTTGGTTGTTGATGCACTGCATGTCCTACTGATTTTCTGCTATTTTGTTCCCCTCTTTTTCTGTAAATTGCAAATCTGCTCCAATGAAATAATGCAACTTCAGATGCCAAAGGAAAGAGGAGACAGGATGAAGGAGAAAAGATTGAAAGGGAGACATCTGAGTGGCTGAAGGAAACGATGGCAGACAATGAAAGGGCGAGGAAGCTTCGGCGCCAAGAACAAGCTGCTGCTGAAGATCCTTCCTTTTCCACATCCTCTGGTGCAGAGAAAAGTGCCTGGTACAGAACAACTCAAGGCAGCAGCCAAGGCAGGGGCCAAGGACACCCCATTGATTCTGATGATGGAAGCCAAAGATTTTTGGGAAAAGAGGGTCTACGCAAAACCCACATGAACGGAGAGATGGGGTCTGGACAGTTTTCTGGAGCAGGTCTAGATGGAGACTCAGCAGCCAATGGTGGCAGCACCTTTGGACTAAAAGGCTTAGGAGGCAGAAGTGGGTTAAGGGCTGTCCATGGTGTGGACTCTGTGTCAGGTCCTGGTGCTGCAGCAGGAGGGGCAGGTGAACGGAATTCTGTGGGTGGCAGAGGTGAGGGTGTGCTGGGTGCTGTTAACATTGACATGGGTGATGGAGGAGGTTTGGGCTCCCAGCATGACAAGGAAGGGAATTCAGGTGATGCCAGTTTCAGAGCTGGTTTTGGGGGTGCTGGAAGGTTGGGTGGTGGAAGTTCTGTGCCAGGTGGACTTGATCATGATTCAGCTGGAGTGGGAGCCAGTGGGAATGATCTGTTCAGCAGGACTGGAGCTGGGGGGAATGCTGCAGGTTCTGGAATGGCAGGAGAAATGAGGTCCCACCACGGCAAGGATGGGCATCCCACTGTGGGTGATATGTATGGAGGTATAAACAGAGAGGGACAAACAGGGACTCCCTATGGCAAGGATGGCTTGGTACCTCATGCCAGTGGTCAGTTAGGGCAGGCAGGAAGTTCTGGCTCACTGCATGGGCCAGGTGGAGATGGGGCTGTACCTGCTGCAGGTGGCAATTCCACAAGAGAAATGGAGGCTTTGTATGGTCCAGATGGTTGGGCACTGGGAACAGGTGCTGGTGGAGCTGGTGGAGCTGGTGCAGGGGGATTTGGAGCTCCCTATGGGAAGGATGGTCTTCCCATTGGAGCAGGCATTGGTGGGGCTGGTGGTGCAGGTGCACTTGGATCTCCCTATGGAAAGGATGGTCTCCCAGCTGGGGCTGGTGGTGCAGGAGGATTTGGAGAGGCTTTGTATGGTCCAGATGGTCAGCCACTTGGAGCAGGTGGTGGTGGTGCTTCTGGTGCAGGGAGAGTTGGGGGTTCCTATGGAAAGGATGGTCTCCCAGCTGGAGCTGGAGTTGGTGGAGCTGTTGGTGGTGGGTTTGGAGGTGCTGGCTCTCCTTATGGAATGGATGCTTTCCCAGCTGGAGCAGGTGCTGGAGGGCCTGGTGCAGGGGGACTTGGAGCTCCCTATGGGAAGGATGGTCTCCCAGCTGGAGCAGGTGCTGGTAGTGCTGGAGGATTTGGGGAGGCTTTGTATGATGGTCGGCCACTTGGAGCAGGTGTTGGTGATATGGCTGGTGCTGGTGAAGGGGGACTTGGATCTCCATGTGGAAAGGGTGGTCTCCCAGCTGGGGCTGGTTTTGGTGGTCTTGGTGCAGCCAGACTTGGAGCTCCCTATGGGAAGGACAGTCTTTCCACTGGAGCAGGCATTGGTGGGGCTGGTGGTGCAGGGGGAGTTGGGGGTCCATATGGAGAGGATGGCCTCCCACTTGGAGCAGGTGCTGGTGCTGGTGGTTCAGGGGCAGCTGGGGGTCCCTATGGAAAGAATGGTCTCCCAGTTGGATCTGGTGTTGGTGGTGCTGGTCCTGTGAGTGCCGGGGGAATTGGAGCTCCCTATGGAAAGGATGGTCTCCCAGCTGGAGCTGGTGTTGGGGGTGCAGGGGGAGTTGGGGGTCCCTATGGAAAGGATGGTCTCCCCGTTGGAGCAGGAGTTGGTGTTGGTGGTGTTGGGGGAGCTGGGGGTCCCTATGGAAAGGATGGTCTCCCAGCTGGGGCTGGTGGTGCTGGTGCAGGAGGATTTGGAGAGGCTTTGTATGGTCCAGATGGTCAGCCACTTGGATCAGGTGTTGGTGGTGCTGGTCCTGCGAGTGCCGGGGGAATTGGAGCTCCCTATGGAAAGGATGGTCTCCCAGCTGGAGCTGGTGTTGGTGGTGCAGGGGGAGTTGGGGGTCCCTATGGGAAGGATGGTCTCCCAGTTGGAGCAGGAGCTGGTGTTGGTGTTGGGGGAGCTGGGGGTCCCTATGGGAAGGATGGTCTCCCAGTTGGAGCTGGTGTTGGTGCTGGGGGATTTGGGGGTCCCTATGGGAAGGATGGTCTGCCAGTTGGAGCAGGAGCTGGTGTTGGTGGTTCAGGGGGTCCCTATGGGAAGGATGGTCTCCCAGTTGGAGCTGGTGTTGGTGTAGCTGGGGGAGTTGGGGGTCCCTATGGGAAGGATGGTCTCCCAGTTGGAGCAGGAGCTGGTGTTGGTGTTGGGGGAGCTGGGGGTCCCTATGGGAAGGATGGTCTCCCAGTTGGAGCTGGTGTTGGTGTTGGTGGTGCAGAGGGAGTTTTGGGTCCCTATGGGAAGGATGGTCTCCCAGTTGGAGCAGGAGCTGGTGTTGGTGGTGTTGGGGGAGTTGGGGGTCCCTATGGGAAGGATGGTCTCCCAGTTGGAGCAGGAGCTGGTGTTGGTGGTGTTGGGGGAGTTGGGGGTCCCTATGGGAAGGATGGTCTCCCAGTTGGAGCAGGAGCTGGTGTTGGTGGTGCAGAGGGAGTTTTGGGTCCCTATGGAAAGGATGGTCTCCCAGCTGTGGCAGGAGCTGCTCATTTTCCTCCTGGGGGTGAGGAAGTTATGGGATCTGGTTGTGGCACGGATGGCACACTGAGCAGAGCTCCAGGATATGCAGGTGGAGCAGGAGGAGAGGGCTTTTCCAGGGAAGGCTCTGCACCGTGGGGTGCAGGGTCTGCCTATGGCAAGGACAGAGGTTCAGCTGTAGCCATGGCTGGTGCAGGTGGGGTTGGGAGCTTGGGAGGGGATGAATGGGATTCAGTCCACGTTAAAGAAGGTGTAGGTGGTGCTGGTGGATCACATGGTGAATATGGGCTGGATGCACATCCTGGTAGATCTTCGAGAGGTGAAACTGGAAAGGGCACGCCTGGTGATGTCCAAGGGCCAGGGAACAAAGGCTCAGCTGGTGACAGAGGGTCTCTGTCAGGTCCAGGAGGAGCCAGGGCAGAAGGCAGAGATTTCGGGCAGTTGGGCTCCCTTTATGGCACAAATTCTGCCTCTGGAAAGGCAGGGAGTAAATCCCATGACAGATCTGTTGATAGGAGCAGTTCAAGTGGGCTTGGTCAAGGTCCACTGAGCTATGGCCAGATGTCAGGTCCTTTTGGTGGACCTCCTTCAGCAAATCAGAGAAACCAGGAGCCTGACCTGGATCTTAAAGCAAATGATTCCCTGAACAACACGGAAAGCACAGGACAAAAGAGACGGAGTGTCCTGGATGATATCAAAGGTACGTGGTTAACTGGTGACTCCTGGTCTTTGCATTTTGATATTCACATCCCTAATCCTGCAAAGAAATGGGATTCTATGGTTCAGATAAACACAACTCTGTGTAGAAATTTGGTTGTCCCACGATCTGTTCCTAATTCTCCCACTGTTTGATCTCACACAGTTTGCTCTGATCAAACTGCCTTAAAGGCTTAAATTACTTTCTTTGTCTAAGTTATCTAAATTAGGTCTCAGCTCTTCATTTGTGTTTCACATATCATGGAACAGACCAGTTCACAAACATACCTGTTCCCATAAAGTTTTGAGGAATATCATCATGTTTCTTTGATACTGTTCCAATTCAAAAATGAACGTTTCATTTTATTTTTCAAACACCTACTGCAAAAACCGTGTTTTGCAAATTCTGGGAACAATTCTGTGCCTGCTTATATGGGATTATATAATGCAAAGAGCTCTTTTCTCTTGTAACATCAGGAATAATAAGGTGTTGCATAGAGTGAGAGGGGAGTAATGTGTTTGCAGCCATTTGAGTAAGACCTGTGGCTCCACCACCAAGATGATGATGAAAATTGTAGGAATGAAAAATTTCAGGTGTATAATCAGAGGGAAATATTAACCTCATGGGATTGTTCACAAGTTAAGAATTATCATTGTAAACCATAAATATAAACAAGGAAATAAAATCATCAAAATTGGGGTTCAGGGAGAAGGAGTGGGGTGTATATTAGAGAAGAGATTATGATGACAATGGAGAATTTGGGAAGGGAAAGAGGAATGCAGGGATGGAAAACAGTGTCCCTGGGTCTGTGTAGGGGGATGTGTTGGGCAGCCCTGTGTGTGGTCAGCGCAGAGGAAGAGGAGGATGAAGCAGTATTTCCACACCCTGGTTTTTCCACTGGCTGTAGAGGGAGCCAAGACAATTAGCACAGACATAAACTAGCAAATCCACAGCTGGATGCTGTGATTTGTGATGAATCCATTGCCCATGAGGTGGATGTTGGGAAGCAGTTGATGTTGGGATGACTGCAGGTCTGTCAGGGCAGAGTGTACTCACAGCGAGGTGGCAAAAAGCCTCTCCTGCCCAGAGGACCTTTTTTTTTTCTTTTAAAGCTCTTTTCCCCTCATGTGCACGTGCATTTTCAGCTCCAGGTGTCTCTCTGTAACACAGACTTGCTTCTTTCCCTCCCTTCACCCTGTTCAGTCCCACGCTGTTACCTCAACAAGCAGCTGGCAACCGTGCGCGTGCTGAAGGGCGAGCCAGCCGAGCTGTCCTGCACTGTCAGCAAGGACAATGTGACAGGAACCTGGTTTAAGGATGGCCTAAAGGTGGGTTCCTTCAGCTTGCTGCTGGCTTTGGCTGGCAGTGCTCTGCTCTCTGGCTCTGCTTGCTAAGGGTGTCCTTCCCCCTGACAGTCACCTGCAGTCTGAGTGGGGCCCTGAAGGGTTCACAGGATCCCAGAGTGGTTTGGGTTGGAAGGGACCTTAAGGATCATCCAGTCCAACCCTGGGCTGAGATAGCTCCCACTAGACCCAAGCCCCATCCAACCTGGCCTTGGACACTTCCAGGGATGGGGCAGCCACAGCTGCTCTAGGCAGCAGAATACCAGAATATTGTCATTAAACATGCATGACATTCATAAATCTTTTCATCTGCATTTCAAATTGTAGTCTGGCCAGCTTCAGGTTTGGATTGCATTTTTTCCTTTTATTTTTAAAGGATAGGTCTCTGTCTTTTACTTTGTAGTTAACAAGCATGGATGGAGTCATCTTTGAAAAGAAAGGTCTTGTCCACAAATTGATCATTAACAAAGCTGATGATATTCATGCTGGTAAATACAGGTTTGAAGGTGGAGATGTAAAAACTGAAGCTTCAATTTTTGTTGAAGGTGAGTCTACTCAAACCACCAAGGGAGCATGAGATGGGCTTTACATGTAATATATTTACTCAGAGACATGACATTGGATATCGAGACAACTTTATAATAGAGAATTACAAGATAAATGGGAAATGCTTTTTTACAGGTTGGTTCATTTTGCATTTGTGAATTTAAGTAGGGACTCTTCTGTCAGCAGCTCAGATTCTGGGGTGCACAAAACGCTTTATCAGGGTGTCATGCCACTACCTTCCCAGGAAGTGTCTCCTATGGGACACCTTGGGTGCACAGACACACCTGCCTTGCCCCAGGGATTCAGCAATAGCCCTTAGAAGGGCTGCTGGAACTGCTGCTGCTCCTTGGGCAGCCCAGAAGGAACAGCCAGGTCCTTGTATGGAGTTCCACAGGGAGCTTCGATTCTGCTGCTTCTCCAGAGGGGTCCAGGGACAAAGAAGCAGGGAGTGAGAGGGCTCAGGGGTTTATAAAGGAAAGGCAGGGGGTGGGTTACAGCAACAGGGCCAATGATCTGAGGGCTCAGGGGCAGAGCAAGGGGGAAGGGCCAATGGGATACAAATAATACACACATGAGGGAAAGGCATGCTGGGGATAGCAAGTTACTGTAACAGAAAGGTCCTCAGCTGAGGCTTTCCCTTGAAAGGGAGCAAGGTAAGTAAAGGGCTCTGGGCTCTCTCTCCAGGACAGTGGCCACACTGCTGGCTGCCTCAACTGCTCCCACATCAGGGCAGATTCTTCATTCTTGTGGTTAGTGTGTTGCCTAGGAGGAACTTTCTCTAGTGAAAGGACAGTGTGATACCACAAAATGTTGTGATAATTATCCTGTAGCAAAGTACAACTGACTGAAGGTTCAGAACCACGTATCGTGAGCTTCTAAACATTGCTGGCAGCACCATGAGGGGATCCCTTCCCTCCAAGGTGAGCCTTGTCCTCCTTGAATTGTGATTTTTAATGACCTTGTATTCCCTGCTTAGATCCTCCCCAGGTGGACAAGGTACTCCTGAAGAACTTGACCAGTGTCCCCACGGTGGCCAAGGCTGGGGAGGCGGTGAAGCTGCGGATCCCGTTCAAGGGTCGAGGGCCCATTAGGGCAGCGTGGCTGAAGGACAGGATGGAGCTGGGGGATGACACCAGGATCCGTGTGGACAAGACAGACACCTGCACCACGCTGTCCATCTCCAGCTGCAGCAGAAGGGACTGTGGGGATTACAAAGTCAGGCTCAAGAATGACAGTGGGACACTGGAGATCAACCTAAAGCTCGTGGTGATAGGTAAGGTGCTGTAACATTCACTGTGGCATTCCTGTAAAGCTTAGCCAGGGGATCCATTGACAACCTTATTTGGAGTGACTGGGTATTTTGAGAGGAACAAGACTCTGTGTATTGCCCCCAGATCAGGATTGATGGTTGAAGATGCTTCTTGCCCTTTAGTACAAGGGAACACAAATACAAATTGATGGCTGAAGATGCTTCTTGCCCTTTAGTACAAGGGAACACAAACCCAGTTTGGTTTTTCGTGGTCTATGCAGCTGAGTTTTGAATGTTCACACACTGTGGGAGATGTGACTGTACACAACATGCACATGTGAAACAGGACTTTGTCTTGGTTTGAAAAAGACAGGTGTCTGCTAAGGAAGGCAGAAACTTCCCTTGAAATAAATAAAAATGTAAACCACCCACTCCCCCTGCAAAATATTGTAATCTTGACATTAAGGTGCTTTCAGGCAAAGATATGGGAATAGGAATAACAGTTCTTTACTAGGGAAATGAAAATAAAAATGCAGTAGTACAAAAAAGAAAACTTAAAAGAAAAACCAAAAAAACAACCAACAACCCAGTGACAGTCAGAATACAACCTGCCAGCCTGTTGGTCAGGGTGTTGGTAGCAGTGTGATTGAATGGTGGCTGCAGTCCTCCTGGAGTGACAGATGTGGTTCTGTTGGAGCAGTGATCTTACAGAAGGGTGTAGTTTTCCTCTGAAGGTGCAGTGCTGGTGTAGATGGGTCTGGTCTCCTCTGGGATCCAGTGGAGAAAGGCTGCTTGTGGTGTTTTGGGTCTCCAAAGAGATACAGCTGGAAATGCTCCTTCCCCTGGGTGGAGCATCTCAGCATGGGATGATGGAATTGTATCTGCCATGCAGTGAGACTCAATGGGCCATGGACAGAAGAGATCCCCCTGGAGGGAGGATGGGTCCTGGAAGAGATAAAGAGCACTGCCCCAGTGGGTTTCAGCAGATAGAATCCATCCTTTTGGTTACATCTTGCACTGCACCCCAAGACAGACATCAAGGTCCAATTCAGCCTTCCCATAAATGTCTGGGCACCTTTGGGACACCAGAAATGTTTTGCCTGTATTAGCAAGCTGAACTGATGCAATGCTTATGAGAAGGGAGAGCAAGGGCATGGCTTCCCATCTTCTCCATCAAGAGTTTAAAAAGTGCAAATTTGGAAGGGGCAATTCATGTGCTCCACCCTCATCCTACAACTGTGCCTGCATTTCATCAGGAACAGTCTCCCAGCTGGTGAGCAAGGGACAGTGTCTGCTCCAAAGCCAGGAGCAGGTCTGGGTCTGGAGCCAACTGTGTCTCTGTTCATCTTCCCAGACAAGCCACAGGCCCCAGCAGGACCCATAAAAATTGTGGAAAGCTCTGTCAACAACATCACGATCCAGTGGAAGCCCCCAAAGGATGACGGGGGCAAACCAGTGCAAAGGTACCTCATAGAGAGGCAGCAGGTGGGCAGGAACGACTGGGAGACCTTGGGAGAAACCCCCAGGAGCTGCAGCACCTTCACCACCAGCAAAGTGGAGGAAGACGTGAGCTACTACTTCAGGGTGAGGGCCATGAATGCCGAGGGAGTGAGTGATGCGCTGGAGTCGGGGGAAGTCAAGGCTGCTGGTAAAGGTGAGGAGAACTTCTCATAATTCATGATTCAAATTGGGAAATTCATTATCAAAGCTGACATCAAATCAAAGTCACTGCATTGTGGATGTTGCTACAGATCCCAACTTCAGTCTTCACACAAAGCTGTGGAGGTTGCCCAGCAAGAGCAGCAGTTTGCTGTAGGCTCTCTCTGCTGATGCTGAGTGAGATGTAATTATTCCTTGGTCATGGAATAATTCTGGATTGGAAAGGAAGTTTCATGGGGGAAATGCAAAATGATCGAGATCAAAGGAAATTTTTCCCAGTGTGCCTGCAAAGTGAGGCCTTTTCTCAACTCCACAGGCAAACGAGTGTCTCTGTGTGTGCAGCACTTCTCAGCCTGACCACTCCATTCCCCTCATCTCCAAACAACTGAACATTGTCTTCATCCTTCAAGGAGTTTAATACTAGAACAGGTTTGCCACGAGCACAAATGCAGTACTAGAGAGAGCGATGTTCAGTTCTAATTGTCTTCTTTCTCCATTCTCATTCCCATGGTTCTGTATCCTGAAAGATTTAGCAGAGAGCAAAGAAAATCCATTTTGTTACCAGTTCAGGTTGTTGAAAACAAGAATGATGCTGCCTGGTCATATCATGTAGGAATGACATACCCCACTGGCAAAGAAATGGTCAGTCCTGATGACAGCAGGTCTTTTGTGAAATCCAAACTCAGGAACTGAGTCCATGCTGGATTCAGTTTGTGTGGGGAACAGGATACTCAACTTCAGGTCTCAGCCGGGTTTTCAAAGCACATCCGTAGGAATACCTGGGGGAATCTGGAAGAAGAAATTACACACAGTTTTATCTACACAATTTTATCTTGCAATAAAAACATACATGCTAATAATGAAGCCCTCATCTCTTTGTAGCTTCCCCTGGTGCCCCAGATCCCCCTGAGATCATCAGTGCCAGCAGGGACACCATCACCATATCCTGGAAAGCTCCTTGTAAAACTGGCACGTCCCAAATTATGGGATACATTGTTCAGAAACGCAAGAAGGGCACTGTGACCTGGCTGCCAGTCACCAAGGTGCCTGTCAAAGGTGGGTACTCTGACTCCTGGAACAGCCTGGGGGATTTGAAAAAGCAAAAGTGTCAGGTTTAGGAGCTGCTTAGGATCTTACACCTTTCACATCAAGGTGGTGATGGGTAACCTTGGAGGTCTTTTCCAGCTAAAAGATTCTGGGATTCTGTGGTTCAAGGGCTGTTTGATTTTGAAAGGAATGCAATGAACACATCCCAGAAGATCACGTGCACTTGTGGTGATCACCTAGTGGTGGGGAATCAGTGGCAGGGGAATCAGTGACAGCTGTTACAGCTCCTAAGAATTTTTCAGTCCATAATTCTGCCTGGACTAAGGCACAACTTTGTTGTGTCACCTTTCCTGATGGGGAATAGCTCCCCTGAGGCAACACATTTCTCTCTGCAGACAAGAAGCTGAAGGTGACCAGCCTGAAGAAGGGTGTGCAGTACGAGTTCCGCGTGGCAGCTGTCAATGCTGCTGGCACAGGACAGCCCAGTGACCCCTCAGAGGCCGCCTCCACCCAGGACCCCACCAGTGAGTGCCCTGTGCTCTGCTTTTGGGGTACTGGTGGGCAGGAGATGTTCTTAATTCCTCTGTAAAAGTGTGTGGGGACAAGGATCAGTAACTGGGGAACGTTTCACGGCTGAGAATCGGCTGGAGGAAGGAACTGAAGGATTTCCTGTAGGATGTCCAAGCCAAGATTTGGCAGATCCCAGTGTGGGTAATGAGCAGTGTGGAGGAACACTCAGGATGGGCTGCAGAGTTTTTGGAGTGCTGTGGATTTACTGCAGGGCTGCTATGAGCAAGGAGCCAGATCCAGCTCTGAAGAACTGGCACAAGGTGGGGCAAGACAGCAGGATGGAAATCCAGTGCACTGCAAGAACGTTGGGGAATCTCAGGCAGTGACTGGAAAAAGGGAAGAGAAATCCTAGAAAAGTAGTTTAAGTAAAATTTCTCCTTCCAGAATCTCCAGGCCAAGTGCAGGACCTTAGAGTGAGCAGTAGTGACAGCACCAGCGTCACCTTGACATGGAACAAACCTGAAGTTCAAGATGGGAATGATGTGAAAGGCTACGAGGTGGAGATGAGGCCCTGTAACAGCTCCAGCTGGACCAAGTGCTTCACCCTCCCTGCAGAGAGCACCTGCTGCAGGCTCCAGGGGCTCCAGGCCGGGGAGAAGCTGCTCCTGCGCGTGACAGCCCTCGGCACCAGCGGCCACGGGGAGCCCCTGGAGCTCGAGGCTCATGCTGGAGCTGCTGCTCCCGTGGGTGAGTCTGGGGCTCTGGCCTGGGAATGGGGCTCTGGACTGGGAATGGGGCCCTGCCCTGGGAATGGGGCTCTGCCCTGGGAATGGGGCACTCTCACAGGATATGGGATGTGGGGTATGGGATGTGGGATACTGGGATATGGGATGTGAGATATGGGATTTGGGATACTGGGATATGGGATTTGGGATACTGGGATGAGCTGTGCTCCTCCTCACCTTGGGGTTATCTGCTCACCCCAGCAGGACAGTCTCAATATTAACTGATATTAGATATGCAGTGCACAGTGTTCAGCTCATTTAGAGACTCCTTTTGATAAAACAACCTCAGAATTCCATTTTCTCCTTGGACTTACATTTTGCCTCCTGTGCAGAGCCACACCACAGTCACCAGACAGAACCCATATGTACTTTACTCCTGCTTGCTCACAATTTTTTATGCTTTTTTTGGATACTTTATTTTACTTTTTAACCTTTATTTTACTTTTTAACCGTTTAGTTTGAAAGTTTTCACCATTTTCACTTTTCCATCTTCATTTACAATCTGCAGCTCTGTTTTCTTCCTGCTCTTTGGGAACATTGCAGAATTACAGATATGAGATAATTCTGTGAGGGGTTCCTCTTCCTTAACTTGGATCCTAAGTGAAAATGTCTATGTTGGCATATGCCTGGAGATCCCATTTATCAATAAAGTAAATAAAAAATAAAATAAATACATCTAAAGCAGGTATTCAGTTCCATACTGGAAACACTAAATACAGTTTAGCACTACTGTATTTGGTATTTTTAAAGCAATACTAAATGCTGTAGTATATTGATGAAAAAAGAAAATATTTTAAATGCTAAAAAATGCTATTTTAGATAAACTCTGACAGCTCTCCTGTGGCTATTCCATGCTGGGTATTGCATGTATATTTTATAATTGTCCATTGGAATTTCCTTTTTCCAGACACCATTTAAACACAAAAGATGAACCCTGTGATGCAATAAAGTGTGGCAAAGGGACAATTCCTCTGTGACTGAGACATCACATGAATGCAGAGATTGTTGTGAATGTATTTTTACATCATTTTCCCTTGTTTAGTCATAGTGATAAATAAATAGCAATGAAATTCGAAAGGTATAAATCTGGGACTGAACCAGGGAGATTTTTCCCTCTGTGAATTCCTTACCAGTCTCTCCCAGCTGGAAGAGGCATCAGGGGGTGGAACACCATGATTGTCACTAGTGACTGCACCAACATCCACCTTTTGGGAGTAATCTTTGTGTTTTCCAGTCTCTCCCAGGTTTCTGATAGATGACACAGTGAAAAGCTTCCTGGTTATAAAAGCAGGGAATCCCATCCAGGTGAAGATTCCCTTTGAGGTGGGTATTCAAGGCTTTGGAGGAATTCCCTGCCTGGTTTTATGATGCACTCAATAGCAGACAGGAAATCTGAGACACTGGTTTTTTGTCATGGAATTTTGTCAACAAGTCACTGGGCAAATAATTTGGCTTGCCTGTGCTGTTTAGACTTTCAGGGTGAGGAAAACAAGCCAGAATTGAGCTGTCAGTCTTGGCATTGGTGTTTTCTGACAATGTGGTCATTCCTTAACCTCTGCAGACAAGGCTCATTGCTGTCCATTATCAATGTTATCATCATCTGGTACTGCTCTGTCAGACTTCCCAAACCAGTGATTGCCCTGTGACTCCCTCAGGAGGCCTTGGGGCACCATTTCCAGCAACACCTGCACTGTGCTTGTCTCACCAAGCAGCAGCACTTGAGCTCTGTGACTCGAGAACTTGGCAGGCACTGACAGAACTCTGCTGTAAGCTTGGAACAACACAGGCTTTTCCTCATGGAAAGTGTGGGCAGGCTTTGGAAGGGGCTGCCCAGGGAGGTTTGGAGTCCTGGTCCTTGGAGGTGTCCAAGGAACAGCTGCATGTGGCACTCAGTGCTTTTAAGGTGCGGATGGGGCATGGGTTAGACTTGATGGTCTTGAAGGTCTTTTCCAGCCTTAATGATTCCATGATCCTGTGAAGTCTGGGATACCAAAGGAGGGTGATGAAGTGTGTGTATTTTCTGGCCTTTCTCCTGATCTCTGGGAGAAGAGACCAAAGATGGCACAATGGAAGTAAAGACTTAGAGGATGCCTTTTCTTTCCAAAAATAACAGATTTTTTTTTTTAAAAGCAGAAAATATTAACTCCTGAAGTTATCTGTCCTTGATCTGGCATAACTTGTTTGACAGTTCTGAATGCTTTACTGTGATAACAACCTTAAAGGACAAAAAGGAAAAAATTCTTTAAAGAAACTGTAGAGCAGGTCAGGGCTCTCAGATCCATTGTGGATATTTCTAAACATTACTGTGTCATGGAGATACACATTTAGGGTAAGATAATGAAACTAAAGGCATAAGACACAGTCTGGAGGTGAAACACGTGGCTGTGATGTTGTTTCCAGGGATCTCCTGAGACGGTGGTGACCTGGTTAAAGGATGGGCTCCCCCTTCCCAGCCGGGCTGCCGTGAGCACCAAGGATGGAAGCGCCCAGCTGCTGCTCAGGGCAGCTGAGATCAGTGACAGCGGCACCTACAGCATCGAGCTCGGGGATAGGCTGGGGAAAAGGGAAACCTTCAGCTTCCAGCTTCAAATTACAGGTAACTCACTGCCATCCATACAAATCTACCAGGAACTCCAATCCTAGGGAATGAAGGCACTGTGAGCAGCCCTGGGAGAAGGACTTGGGGGTGCTGGTAGGTGAGAGCTGGACATGCCCTGGGCTGATCCCCCAGCATGGGCAGCAGGGCATGGGGGATTCTGCCTCTGTGCCCCACTCAGGTGAGACCCCACCTGCAGAGCTGCCTCCAGCCCTGGGCTTCCAGCAGCAGAAGGAAATGGAGCTGCTGGAGCGAGTCCAGGGGAGGCCACAGAGATGCTCAAAGGGCTGGAGCCCCTCTGCTCTGGAGCCAGGCTGGGAGAGCTGGGGCTGTTCACCTGGAAAATGCTCTGGGGAGAACCTTAGAACCCTTCCTGTGCCTGGAGAGGCTCCAAGGGAGCTGGAGAAGGACTTGGGATGAGAGCCTGAAGGAATAGGACAAGGGGGAATGGCTTCCCACTGCCAGAGGGCAGGGTTAGATGGGATATTGGGAAGGAATTCCTCCCTGTGAGGGTGGCACAGGGTCCCAGAGAAGCTGTGGCTGCTCCATCCCTGGAACTGCCCAAGGTCAGGTAGGACAGGGCTTGGAACAGCCTGGAATAGTGGAAGGGGTCCCTGCCCATGGGAGGGGGTGGGACTGCATGAGTTTTAAGCTCCCTTCCCACCCAAACCAGCCTGGGATTCCATGATTTACTGTGAATAGGCAGAAGGCCACAAAGTGAGTTTGCCAGGGTGAGCTCTGATGCAGTTTGGCCGTGCAGGCAAAGGGAGAACCAAGGTACAGTCTTCTATGAGATTGTCTGGGCACTTTGTGATCTCACTTGTCTGCAGGACAGAGCAATCCACTGACTAAAACTGAGTGAGGGAGGTCAGCACAGGCTGTGGGACACAGCACAGCTCTCCCAGCTTCCCCAGGAGGGGAAGCAGCTCAGCTGTACAACCTCCTCTCCCCACTAGCAAGTGCAGATACTGCGCAGCAGCAGCTCAGTTCATAGCAAATGCATTTGTGTGCCTGGAGAAGGAAAGGAATTTTGACCAGGACTTAGCCCCAGACATACAACAGGTTTTTAGGGTTCTGTGCCACTGTCCCTTACAGCTGTGACATTGTCCCTCCCCTGGCAGATGTCCCTCAGCCCCCTGGAGCCATCCAGCTGGAGGAGAATGTGCCCAACACAGTGACAGTGACCTGGGACCCCTCAGCATCTGAGCAGTGGGAGAAGAACCTGTATTACACTGTCCTGAAACGGGAATCCCAGAAGGGTCTGTGGCATGTGCTGGGGGACCTGATCTACAACAACAAGTTCACCTTCACCAGGGTGGTCCCAGGCAGGGATTATTACTTCAGGGTTGTGGCAAAAAATGACCTGGGAGCCAGTGATCCATCAGAGACTGTGCAGCCCTGGAGGATCTGGAAAAAAAAGGGTAAAACATTTTCAGGTATTTCTCTGTGTTGTGTTTTGTTTCTTTCATTGCTTCTAGCACCCCACCCTCAAATGGGTCTCTCCTCCTGGGAATATTCAGTTGCCCAGAACAGGAATGCACAGAGATGCCCTGAGGAATTCCAGCTGGGCAGGGAAGGTTTGTCCTTTTTCTGCAGGGACATTGTGCAGACAGACCCTTCATTCCCAGGTATTATGACATGAAAATTTGCCCCAAAATGAATTCCCAGCAAAGTCTAAGGCTTCAGTATTGTAGAAACCAAAATTTCTGACTTCAAAGTTAAATGCTGGGTAATCCTGAGAAGCAGAAGAGCTTACGATCTATAGGTGCATGGGATCTCTGGCAATTTGCAGAATTCTAGACACTGCACAAACAAACCCCTGCAAACCCTGCGGTGCTGGGAGCAGTATCTGAGAGTGTGTTTGGTTTATTTTTCACAGCTGAGTTTCGAGTGCAAGCACAGAAGTACAGGGGAGTTAACCAGAACCAGCCCCCGAGGTTCCTGGTGCCGCTCAAGTGCCATGTCGTGGTGACAGGCAGCGAGTGTCGCATGAGCTGCGCTGTTGGGGGCCATCCCCCCCCCCAAATCAAATGGTACAAGGACAGCAGAGACCTATCCAGAGATCCCAACTACTTCTGCACCAACGACTTTGGAGTGTGCTCCCTGGTGGTGCTGGGGGTCACCAAGCAGGATGAGGGGGAGTACATGGTGGAAGCCAGCAATGAAATGGGCCGTGCCTTCAGCAAAGCCTTCCTCGCCATCAAAGGTAACTCTGCACTGCTGCTTCCCTGCTGGATCAGTCACTGCTGCCCCGGGCCTCAAACACGGTCCCCAAACAGCTCCACCTGCTGAAAAGAATGCTACATTTGGGCTTACTGAATTCCTAATTATGGTACTCGTGATCGAGTACCACAGAGAATAGAAATGAAAAGGCAGATGGGAAAAACCACTTGATTTCTGCACAAACCAGAGGTTTTGGCTGAGCTTGAGTAAATTTTTTAGAAAGAACAATCCCATCTTCATTAGGTAGGATAATACCAAGATTAGATTTCTCTCCAGTGCAGGAGCTGCAGAATAAAGACCTTGGCAAATGTGCTGAGAAACACTGAGAGAACCGCTGATGTTTGGCCAAAGCCAACACAAGGGAGGAAACACAGGGGGGGAAAGAGAGGGACATGGTCAGAGCTATTGGGATCCCGATGTGGATGGAAGGGCAGTGGAACAGGCTGGGGATAGACTCTTGGATATACTTATGGATAAATATTGTTGCTGACTATATCCACTGAAATATCCTTTACTTGGAGTCAGATATTTTTCTTGAAATGCAGATTACCTCACTGGGATTACAGGAGTGGCAAAATGGGTCAGTTAAACCTCTCTCACCCCCTTGCAGACTTTTAGGCCCTGTAACATTTCAGCTCCCCTTCCCAGGGAGCCTTTCAGACTATTTTTGATCTCACTCACTACAACCCTGAGCTGATTCTCTCTTGCTCTCACTTTCAGACTCCTCCCTGTAGCATGGCCCTGCTGAGAACATCCCTGCATGGCTCCCAGGATGAGAAGGTTTGGGTGAGGACTCCTCCATGTGAAGGCTGTGCATTTATGGTCAGATGTTCCTCATAGTCTGAGGGCATTATTTTTCAGATCCAATAATTGTACTTTGAACATGATGCTGCATTGTCATCAATACTGGGAGAAAAAAGCTTTAAGAGCACTGTATTTTATTTTTTTTTAATGATCAGGCTTTCCATGAGACCTTTAAAACACAGCTTAGAAGCTTCACGAACACAGAAGATGAGAGGAAAAATAATTGGCCGAAATGAAACTTTCTGTGGAGAGCACAGATGGAAGAGATCATCTTGCCACACCACTCACCCACAACAAGGACATTTCTGGACATCAGGGGTCTCTGGTCCTTTCACATATGCTTTTTCAAGCCAAAACACTCACTTTGGATTCCATGTGATTCTCTGCAGGTTTCCCAAATCTGGCAGAAGCAGTTCTGCATGTGTTCTACTACCAGTAACATCTAAATAAATTATCTAACCCCTAAGTCATTTTGTCTGGGCAGGAGATGAAATCTCAGACCAGCCTGGCATGGGGTAGCTGAAATTCCCATTGCAAAGTGGGAAGGACTGTAAGTCTACAAGCAGTGTGTGAGCAGAGCAACTCCCCAAACCCCCAGCATGTGCTGTACAAAGGCTGTGCCAGTCCTGAACCACCCCCAGCATCATCCTGTGCATACCCCCGTTCATGGCACTGCTGGGAGCCTTTTGCCTTGTGCAGAAAGAGGTGAAAAATCCTTCCTGTCTTACCAGAAATATGAAGGACCCTCAGGAACCTCCTGCAGTGGCCAGGGATTTCCAACACTGGGCCTGGACAGCAAAACGTTCTGCTGGCTATAAGAGGGTGTCACAGCCAGGGCACGGAGGGTACTTGTGACAGGAGAGAGCAGAGCCAAACACAGCTGTGGGGCTGGAATGTTCCTTGGGATTACATGTTGTACAATGCTGTACAGATGTAGCAGCAGTAGATAATTAAATTAAACCACAATTCAGCGAAATCTACCCTGAGTCTGTGTTTATTCTGGAGGAGGAATCCCAGTCAGTTCCTGGATCCCTGTGTGCCGCAGTTTCACATCTGATTGCTGTTCACGCTCACCCCTCATGGAATCCTCCAGCAGCTCGTCCTGCTCCTTGGGGCTGGAGGCAGGGGGATCTCACCTGCAGGGCAGATTTGCTTCTTGACTGATAAACACAAGTCCAAGATTGATGGAAATTGGAACTGGAGCTGAGGGACCTCGGGACGCTGCGATTTCTGCAGGTCCCGCTGAGATGTCTGCAGCAATTCCAGCAAATCCTCCGCTGCTGCTTTACCCTGTGAGCTTCGATCCCAGCCCAAGGGGGATCCCCTGCCGCCAATCGCCTCCGGGGTGGAAGGGCCGCTGTTTGTCCTGCAGGGCAGGACGGGGCTGGGAGCACCCCGGTGTGCACCCATGGCAGGGGCTGCACCGGCCCGGGTCTGTGGGTCTCTCCCGGGAGCCCAGGCCCGACCGCGGCTCCGGGGCTGCGAGCGAGGCCCAAGCACGGAGCCCCCGCCCGCAGAGCNGCACCCCCCTCGCCGTTCCCTCACCGGCCCCAAGTACCCCCGGGCCTGGTGCCGCTCCTTGGGACGTTCTCCTGGGGCTGCTGCGGCCTCTCCCAGCTCCGGGAACGGTCCGAGTTCCCCCAGAGCTCCGCGCTGCTGCTGGAGCGGCCGGAGCACCCTCGGGATCTCCTGGAATTCGTGGTGGAGCGGGGATTCCTGCCGGGGGGAACAGCGGCGGCTGTCCCGCGGGCGCTGCACCGGGACAGAGCGGACGGCAGCATCCCCTGGGCCGGGGCACCAGCGCAGCTCCTTGGCTTGGGTTCCAGCACGGATGTCCAGGACCTGCTCCACACACAGTTTGTGGATAAATCTTGGGGATGCTCCCGGTCCCGGGCACTGGGTCCAGCCTGGCGGACAGTGGAGATTCCCCCTTTGCTGAGGGAACGGGATGAAGTTTTTGGCCAGTGCAGAGGGGACGGAGGTAGAATTTTCCCCAGCAGCAAGTGGGTTCATTCCTCACCCAGGGAGGTCAGGTCTTTCCCAGGGTCCCACTGTTCTCCAGCACCGGCAGCTTCATTTTCCAGCCTGGAGTTTGTAAACCAGTTAGGTGTGGGGAGAAGGCAGGGGAGTCCCAGCAGGGCAGCTCCTGCATCCCAGGGTGATGGGGTGAGTGTCTGGGAGCATCCACGTGAATCCCACAGGGACAGCGGTGTGTGTCCCATCAGGATCCGCTTCCAGCACCGCCTCGGGCGGGCAGGGACGGGCTGGGTGTCCCCTGCACCCCAGTGGCTGCGTTAGGTATTTCTTCATCCCAGGGGGATGGAACTGGTTGGTCTTTAAGATCATTTCCAGTCCAAATCTTTTTAAGATTCTGTGAGTCTGGGGGGCTGCTCCTCCTTTCAGGAGCTATTTGTAACGGCCAAAGGATGTCCCCTGACCTGTGGCTCCCTGTCACCAAGGTCCCAGTGCTGCTGCTGGGGTGTGGCACTACTGCAGCCTCTGCTGGCACTCGGGATCCTTGGGAGCCACTCCCCAAAATTCCCATCCCATGAGAGAACAGCAGTGCCCCATTAGTGGAGTTTGTGAGCACCCAGGAGAGAAATGCACCCAAGCTGGAAGGGAGGGATGAGCTGAGCTTGGAGCCCCCACCCCGTGCAGGACAGGGTGTGCTGTGATGTGCTGAGCCTCTGCCAGCGCTGGGAGTTTTCCCCGTGTTCCTGGGCTGGGTTTGGTGTCACTGCTGAGGTCAGTGCCTGTGCCAGCCTGGCATGGACAAGCTGGAGAACAGGTTCCAGCATCATTACAGCAAAAACCCCTCTCAGCCCCTGAGTAGTGAGGGTGGATCCTGCTGGGGCAGGAAGGAGCTCCAAACACACGAAACTCCTGGGCTTGGGGTATTTGGCTCGTTTGCACCAATCCTCCCCCCCACACCCCGAATTCCTTTGTTTGGACTCCATCTGACCTTTGGTGACTTGGGGAGCAAGGTCAAGTCTGGCCATGAATCAGCAGGGTTTTCCAGGCTGTTTTCTGAGTGCTGAAATCTCACTCAGGAATGCACTGGACCTTCTTTGCTTTTAAATTTTCCATTCTTAGACCCTGCTTAGGAAAGGCTTTTCTCCATCCAGCATGGTGACCAAGGCTGTGCCTCCTCACCCTCTGCGGATTCCTGTTCTCCATGTGCTGAGAATGTCCACGTCCATGTGTTTGCCCTGTTGAGTTGTGTGTCCCAGTCCCTTCACTCCAAGACTCAGCTCTTGGTGGAGCCTCTCTGGAAGGAGCTGCTGCTGGATTCAAGAGGAGTTTGGATGCTGGTCTGGTTCTGCTGGGAGCAGGAGTGGAGATGAGTGGGGAGTTGTGTGAGCTCATTGGGGAGCCTTTTGTCCCAGAGAGCTTCAGTGCATCCCTCAGTGTGGAGTCCTTCCCTGGCAGGGCCTGGCTGTGTTGGTGGCAGTCCCCAAGCAGCCCCTGACAGTGAATTTGGCTCTTTTTCCCTTTGGGAGGGTAACACCTTTGTGGTGCAGGAGTCCACAGCCCAAGCTCCTGGGCTGGATGGGCAGGACGGGTCCGGATTGACCCTGGGCAGCATTTGGAGCAATGGCAGCCGAGTTTTGCAGCCATCTCCTGGATCCAGGTGCCTCCGGATCTCGCAGAACTCGGCAGGGAGCGCAGCCTTTGGAGCAGCTCCACCCTGGCTGCACAGCCCATCCCTCCCCTTCCTCTCCAGGGGGTGGTGCTGGAGCACTGCGGAGCTCCCTGCGGCTTCTGGGTGGGTTTTGCCATGCGGCAGGCTCTGGAATTCAGCTCCTTCCGAGCCTGGAGACGCCTGAGCCCCCGTGAGCCTCGTTTAAGAGGGTTGGCATCACTCACCTGGAGCTCTTTCCTGGCTGAGGAGATTCGGGCAGGAGCAGCTATAAACCTGAGGGTGCAGCTGCAAACCTGCTGAGGGATCCCTTCCTGTGCGACTGGAGAAGACATTAAACACCGCTGGTCCCAGCAGGGCCCCCGAGCAGTCCTGGGGCAGCTGCTCAGGCCGCATGAGAGGAACTCATTTAACTAATTGATTGTATAGCACGGTCTGTTCCTTAGGGAGGTGATCCCAGTGTCCTGGAACACCCACACTGGAAATATCTGGCCAGGGAGGGATGCTTTGTGCTGGAGGAAGCTGGTTTGGAATGTGGCCCTCCTGGGGAGGAAGAATGGGAGCCCAGCGGGGTCCTGGGTTGCTCCATGGCTTGCTGGGGGCAGGGTTTGGAGCATCCCCTCTGCAGGGTCAGACCTGCTTGGTTTGTTCATGGCAAGTGGCAGGAAATGGGTCTCCTCCAGCACACCTGGACAGAATGGGACAAGATGGGGACACAATGGAGCCTCTTTCTGCCCCTTGGCTCTGGATCTGCACTGACTGCCATTCCCTCCATGTGCAGGGATGATGCTCCCAGGGGGGAAGCTCGACTGTTAGCAGCTGCCAAGCCCTTGTTGTGTGTTCCTGTGGGTTTGGATACCATGGCAGTGGGGGTGTCCTCCCTGTGCCCCCCTGGCTGGGGGTCCTGGTGTGAGCCCTCAGAGCTGGGTTCTCTTTCCTGCACAGGACAGGGGATCTGTGGAGGCTGGAGGGGGACACTGACAGCTCACATTCCCTGGCACCCCAAAGGCTCCAGCTGGAAGTGCTGCCATTGGCACAGCAGGGAAGGAGACCTGGACAAGTGAGAGGTGTTCCCAAATCCTCTGCAGTGTCCCAGCAGTGGCTCAGCTGTGCTGGGAACCCAGCCAGGCCCAGCTCAGTTAAATCTCTCAAGATTTGGGCAGTGGGTACAGAGCTGCAGCTCCCAGGACACTTCCCACCCAAGGCACTTTTCCTGCAGGGAGCGTGTCTGGATGCAGGAGCTTGTCCAGCCCTGTAGTGGACCTGTCAGAGCTGCATGGAGGTGCCCACCAGACCACGATTTGCTGCCTAATCTTAATTTGGGGGCTGGTGACATGAAAGACAAACCAAGGCTGTGCAGCAGGGTGGTGTCAGCCCTGCCCTGCCCTGCCCTGCCCTGCTGAGGGCACATCTGGGGAATGCAGTGGGGGCTGGATCCCCGGTGTGAGGATCTTCATGGGACACAGCATGGGGGCCACAGTGTGGGATTAAACCAAACCCTGCTGTGCCTGGTGGAGCTCCTGGTGTCCAAAGAGTTCTCCTTGAAGCCAGGATGCAGAAGGCAGCACCAGTTCAGTGAAAGGTGATGGTGTGTGTGACAGCAGCCTTGGGAAGCACCTTGATCCATGGAAAAGATCCTGTTACACCACAAGGAGCTGTTTGATAAGGAAACCATCTCCACATCTGGGTAACTCAGCTGCTGTTTTTGCTGTGTAAAGGGACTTTTCAGTTTTATTGCTCTGTGTCCAACCCTGGCACTGACAGGGGGTCTGCCCAGGAGGGCAGACACCCTGGCACTGACAGGGGGTCTGCCCAGGAGGGCAGAGGTATCCAAAAACTCAGAGAAAGGAACATGCTGAAATTGGAGCTGTCCAGCGTGGAAAAGGGAGGGCTCTGGGGAGAACCTTAGAGCCTCTTCCAGTACCTAAAGGGGCTCCAGAAGTGCTGGAGAGGTTCTTGGGACAATGGCCTGGAGGGACAGGACAAGGGGGAATGGCTTCCCATTGCCAGAGGGTGGCATTAGATGGGATATTGGGAAGGAATTTTTAGCTGTAGGGATGATGAGGCCCTGGCACAGAGAAGCTGTGGTTGCCCCATCCCTGGAAGTGTCCATGGCCAGGCTGGAGCAACCTGGGATAGGTGAATGTGTCTCTGCCCACAGCAGGGAGTGGAATGGGATGAGCTTTAAGGTCCCTTCCAACCCAAACCGTTGTGGGATTCTGTGAAATGAAACGTGAACAATGTCACTGGGAGCAGCAAACTGCCATTGCTTGCAGTGGCTCACACTGGTTTCCCTCAGCCTTCCAGTGACTTGGGCTCCTCCTCGCCCTGGGCAG